TCTCTACTTCCTTCCCTCCCTCCTTTCTTTCCCTTCCTTCCTCTTCCCACCTGTTTCCTTCCTCCTTCCTTCCTCCTCCCACTTATTTCCTTCCTTTCCTTCTCCTTTCTTCCTTCCTCCACCTCTTCCCTTCCATCCAGCCTTCCCTCCCTCCCTCCCTCCCTCCCTTTCTATTTCCTCTTCCAGTTGCAACGTTTAGACAGATTTTGCATGCCAGTTCTACTTGCCTCCTTTTTTGGAGGTCTCTTCCAGAGCTGCCCCTCCTTCCCCTCCCCTCTTCTGCCCTCCTCTCTGACCGCGCCCTCTCTTGCAGTTTTATGTCATAGAGTACGCGGCTTGCGATGCCATCTACAACGAAATTGTCACCTTGGAGCGATTGCGGCCCGTCAACCCCAGCCAAGTGGCCACCAAGGGCAGCTTCTTCAAGTGCACCATCGCCGTCCCGGAAGATCTCAAGGAGGCGTGAGTGTCCTCGACCGGTGGGGATTTTTGCGGGTCCTCCTGGCGGAGAATTGCCCAAACCTGGCCCTTTTTTTTTACACTTTGTAGCCCTCAATTCAAAACTTGGGGCTCTGCTGGGACTTACAAAATGACACCACGATCTTCGGCTGGTGGCCGTAGTCTTCTTCCCAGGTTGGCTCCTCGGGCTTTGGAACAGGGGTGGCCAATCTTTTAAGACTTCAACTCCCAGAATCCCCCAGCCAGCGGGGGTTCAACAGCACTCAGCATGGATAGGACTGTTCTGACGTAGGCTTCCGAGACCGTAATTACGCCCGCGCTTCTTTTAAAAAGAAGTCTTCTTTATTGATTTGATTTGATTTGATTTATTTGATTGGTCCATTGCTTACAAGATGATAGGTAAGAGTATAAACACGAGTAAGAATACAGGAAATGGGGATGAATAAATGGGGACAATAGGACAGGGATGGTAGGCACGATGGTGCACTTATGCACGCCCCTTACACACCTCTTAGGAATGGATATACTCTCCCTTTCTCTCCTCCCTCCATTCTTTTCTCTCCTTCCTTCCTCCTGCTCCCTCCCTTTTTTCTCCTTCCTTCCTTCCCCTTTCCTATTCTCCTTCCTTCCCCCTTACTTCCTTCCTTCTTTCCTTCCTTTTAATTTTTATTTATTTGATTTGTCCATCGCTTACAAGATAATAGATACAAGTATAAACATGAGTAAGAATACAGGAAATGAGTATGAATCAATGGGGACAATAGGACAGGGACGGTAGGCACGATGGTGCCCTTATGCACGCCCCTTCCAGACCTCTTAGGAAAGGGTATTCTCTCCTTTCCTTCCTTCCTTCCTTCCTTCCTTCCTTCCTTCCTTCCTTCCTTCCTTCCTTCCTTCCTTCCTTCCCCTTCCCTATTCTCCCTCCTTCCCCCTTCCTTCTTTCCTTCCTTTTATTTTTTATTTATTTAATTTGTCCATCGCTCACAAGATAATAGGTATAAGTATAAACACGAGTAAGAATACAGGAAGGAGGTACGAATCAATGGGGACAATAGGTCAGGGACGGTAGGCACGATGGTGCCCTTAGGCACGCCCTCTACAGACCTCTTAGGAATGGGGTGAGGTCAACGGTGGATAGTTTAAGGTTAAAAGAGTGGGGGTTTGAGGATGTAACAACAGAGTCAGGTAGTGCGTTCCAGGCATTGACCACTCTGTGGCTGAAGTCGTACTTTCTGCAATCAAGTTTGGAGCGGTTTAAATTGAGTTTGTATCTGTTGTGTTGCTCTTGTGTTGTTGTGGTTGAAGCTGAAGTAGTCATTGACTGGTAGGACATTGTAGCAGATAAATTTTGTGTGCTGTGCTTAAGTCTAACCGTAGGTGGTGTAGTTCAAGGTTGTCCAAGCCCAAAATCTCAAGCCTGGTGGTGTGGGGCATTCTGTTGCGAGCAGAGGAGTGGAGTGCTTTTCTTGTGAAATACTTCTGGACTTGCTCGATTGTATTAATGTCTGATACGCAGTGCAGATTCCTTTTATTTTTATTTATTAATTTTATTTATTTTATTTTATTTTATTTATTTAAATGTATGTATGTATGTATATAATTTTTTATTTATTTTATTTATTTCTTTTATTGCAACGCTGGGAAATATTTTCATTCCCAGCCGGGAACGAATCCCAAAACAGTCCCTCGAGATAAGCACCCGCCTTTCTTCCCTGTGAAGTGCTGCCAATAACAAAAAGCGTCCAATGAACTAGAAAAAAAACCTAACTAACCGAAGTACAAAGAGCTTCAAGAATGACTCGGAACCAATCGAACGACCTTGCTTCCTGCAAAGGGTTCGTCATTGAGGTCCGACTTTTATCCCTTAGGGGAGGGGCAATCACCTCCCAGCCTTACTCCTGAGTCACCCCTTTTGTCTTAGCTGCTCTCGCCTTCTGGCAGCTCTGCGCATACGCACACTGGGAACAAGCTCCCCTGGCTCCTCGGCCTTGCTGCTGCCAGGCTCCTGAGTCCTCTCCAGACTCCCTGACTGGTCCCCTTTTGTCCTCACTGTCCGCTTCCGTCTGCACCAGCTGCCAGCGAACCACAACAGTCCCGGCCAACCAGATAGTTTCAAGATAGTTCCCAATTACTGACCTTTATCAGGGTTGGAGAGTGGCCAGGCCGATACCTTTCAGACGCCACAATACTTGGCAAGCGTGCCAGAAGGAACTAATTGTCTCCTGCAATGCTTCACTCCCCTTTTGCTCCTATTTATTCCCCCTGGGAGGGACCATTCACCGTCCACCTGAGCCTTTACTCCTGAGTCAGCCCTTGTCCTTCAGCTGTTCCCTTCTTCTGGCAGCTCTGTGCATGCGCACACTGGGAACAGGCTCCAGTTGTTCTTCTTTCCCACTGATCTCCGACTCCGACAGGCAGCTGATAAGTGTCGGACATCCCTGGCCCCATCTCTGCCTCTTGTTCCTCAGCTGCTCCCTTCTCCTGGCAGCTCTGTGCATGCGCACACTGCCAACAGGCTCCAGTTGTTGTTCTTCCTCACTGATCTCCAACTCTGAAGGCAGCTGATAACTGTTAGACATCCCTGGCCCCATCTCTGCCTCTTGTTCCTCAGCTGTTCACTTCTTCTGGCAGCTCTGTGCATGCTCACATCGGGAACAGGCTCCAGCTGTTCTTCTTCCCCACTGACCTCCGACTCTGAAGCCAGCTGATAAGTGTTGGACATCCCTGGCCTCCATCTCTGCCTCTGACACAGAGCTCATATGTCAGAGCCTTCCCCAGACTCCAGGACTGGCCTCATGTTCCTCCCCAACCTCCCCCCTGCAGGTTGATAAGTTAGTAACTCGGTTGTTAAGCGAATCTGGCTTCCCCAGTTTGATTTTTGCTTGTCAGAAGTTCGCAAGCAGGGATGACTCCACGACTGCCTTAAATACGAATCGTTTGCCAAGCGTCTGAATTTTGATCAATTTTGATAAGTGTGAAAAACGGCCCCTAGGTCACTTTTTTTTCCAGCGCCGTTGCAACTTTGGCCGCTAAGCGAACCGTTGTACATCGAGGACTACCTTACATATCTTCAGCACAGTGAAAAAAAGAACAGGCTGGGGAATTCTGGGAGTCCCAGGTCTTAAAGCTGCCAAGGAATGGAAACTCAACTTGAGGAAGTGCAGCTGCTGCTGTCTCGGGAGATTCTCCCTCATCCCAGGTCCTGGTTGTCCCAACGGTGCCTTTTTTTTTTTCTCTTGAGAGGCACCTGGACTGTCTGAGTTTTTCATAGAAGATAAGAGAATGAATAGAATAGAGAATAGAATAGAATATAGAATTAGAATATAGAATATAGAATATAGAGAAGAGAATATAGAGAAGAAAAAAGAATATATAGAATAGACTAGAATATAGAGAAGAGAATAGAGAATAGAATAGAGAATAGACTAGAATATAGAGAAGAAAATATAGAGAATAGACTAGAATATATAGAATAGAAAAG